GGCATCAATGTGTGAACTGTGGGACTGTGGAAAAAATATGAATGTGACACTGATGTCTCCCACAGTGAAGCTGGTTAGATCCTTTTTTAGCAGATTTATTTTAAAAAGAAAGGTCCAATTAAATTTTTTTTTAAATTGGCCTATCAACTTTGCAGTTGTTGCCACAATTTGGTGTTGTGGAGGGAACTGCAGAGCTTTTCATAGTAATTATTCTAAATTTGACAAGTTATGAGCACTGAAGTGGAGCAGTTAGTTTTTATTGGTGGAATATTCAGATCTAAGGAGAAAACAATAAGCAACCTCAAGATTTTTTGATTGAGAAGAGATGATCTTCCCCTGTCTGTCTGTTACAAACAAAACATCCTGTGTCTGTTTTGTTTATGTTGTGCCTACCTTAAGAAAAGCAAGATTTGACACGTCCTAATTTTAATTATGTCCAGAAGCAACACAAAGAGCAAATCCTGCCCCTGCACAGCAAAGCTGGTGTGGAGGTGCTGCTGGACAGGTGGAGAAAGTGCCAGGCAGGGAAGCAGGATTCCCAGCAGCACCACCACTGTCCAGCACAGTTCCAACAGCTCTCTCATAAACAGGCATTCTGGCTCAATTACTCGTGCTTCACAGCCCATAGCTACATCACAGTCCATAGATACAGCTCGAGGAGGATTTTAGAAAAAGGCTTCTCTTTCAGGTGAACAAACATGAGAGATTAAGTTTTTTAAGTATTGCAGTACAACTGAAACATCCTAAGGCAAACAGTAACTCCTCCTGCAAAACCTTGCAGTTGAACTTAACAAAATACAATTCTTTACTCAAAAAAGAGGGTGATTTACACAGACATGTCATGAGAAGGAAAAAGAAAAATTGTTGTGATTTTGAGGCTAGATAGGAAGACAATAATTTGTTGTCTAAATTGTTCTTTTAATTACAAGCTACTATTTTGTACACTGTAGAAATGCTTTTAATATTTTCTGACTGAGACAGAGAAGTATTGTAAATTTTCTCTTATAGCCAAACTCAATTTCCTTATACTTGTATAGGAGTTTTCAGGAATTTAATTTATCTGAGGTTTACAACTGAATTAACAAAGCACTGGTTTTTAATCCTCATTTTTGAACTATATTGCATCAATGCACACAGAAAAAATGCACACTTTCAGTCTGTGCTTCTAAATAGATAAATTTACTGTGAAATCTGATTTTTTCAAAATAAATACTTTATTCTTAATTCACAATATTATTTTCCTATTAAATTTTTATGCCTTTGCTTTAGAAAAATATGTCACTTAATCAGCAGTTCAGCTTAGTGTTGTTTTCAAATAAATAACCAAGTATTTAGAAAGCAAAGGGGAACAATCCTTAGGAGAGTATAAAGCTGCAAAGAGAAAAGGTGGTGGGTGAGCTTGAGGCTACCTGAGATCTCAGTGATAAATCTTCATTCAGAAGATGCTAATTTTTTATCTATATTCTTAAATCTTTGCTGTAACTCTATGTGGCCACCTTAATGTTACTAAATGCCATAATGTTAGTGCCAGAGGCAAGCTAATAAATCCAGGTTAGAGCCCATCTTCTGTCTTAAATCATACAGATGCTGTTGTGAAGAGTTGACACATTTTCCTTGATCTTGCCTGGGGCAGTGGACAGCTGAACTGATTCAAATAGCTTTTAAGCAGACATTCCATCATTTTCTAGACCTTTGGGTTGGAATTCTTTCCAACTGTAAGTCCTGTCAGTCTGTCTAACATTTGCTTAATTTCAAGGGGGAAAAGAGGATCCTCTTTTTTTTCTTCTTAAGAGATTTTTTGGGTTTGTTTTGTTTGTTTGTTTGTTTGTTTGGGGGTTTTGGTGGTTTTTTTTGTTTCCTGGAAAACTTCCATCAGAGTTCCATGATCACTGACTTTTAGTACTGTTTTTAAATAACATCAATAGTTACAATCTTTAATTGATTCATGTCACCTACTGTAGATTTTGATTCACATTAGGACTGTCCTGTAGTAGCATTTGTTTCCTCCAGAATTGCTGAAGCTAATGCTGACTGGCAGCTTGAGAAAGCTGTTTCTTTGCTTTGATGTGTAGACCTCGGATTTTTTTCCAAGACTTTTTTTTAATCTCATACCATGATAGGTACAACTTCTAATCACCAGGTGCATCAAAGATGCATCACACATGGTGACTGCATAAAACATTACAGTAAAATGGAGTTTAACCAGCAGAATATAATCCAGTGGTTTTAAAGTCCAGGTAAGGGGAGAATCATTACTAGAGAGAAAATGTGTGTGCCCAGCTGACTAAAACATATATCTAACTGCTTTCACTTAGCATGGTTTTGTTATTGCTATTATCAGGACAAAAACAGTCCTGAGTTTGTGTGTCAATTTGTGTGTGTGTGTGTGTGTGTGTACATGTCAATGCATCTAAAGAGCAAATGAATGGATGTTATTAAAGGGGTTTGGCAGTATATGAACAACATAAGTCAGAAAAAATACAGTAAAGAAGCACGATTACCCATTCAGATCATTCATTACTCAAAACCAGTCCCTGAGGTTGCTATGACATAAAGCCTGACCTTTTGGCTCTTGGTAAGAGCAGGGCTGTCAAAGGTCCAGTGCTATCCTGCAAATCAAGTCCAGTCAAGGAGCAGAACATGGTGGCTCTGCCAGTTCTGTTGCCTTTGCCTCTGGTTTTTGCACTGGTGACTCTATCTCAAAATGTCCACTTGTAGGTGGTAGTCTGCTTGTGTGTTGTTTCTTAGTGAGACCCTTTCTGTCAGCTTTGAAGGAATGTGTGCAGTGTGAACTTGATCTGTCTGTGGATTTTCCTTCTCCCTTCTCCGTCATCACTGACAGTAGTTCCCATCACATCAGAACTTCTCTGGGAACTTCTTGTACCCCTTTTCCCTTATTGCTCATGTCTAGGACATCTTTCTACATGTTCCCTCTCAGTGTGTCCAAGTCCCACATAATTCTTTGATCCCAAAGATCAGTTTTTCTTTGGCCTTTACTAAATGCTTGGGAGATGGTTCACCTGCTCTGTACACAGGTGGCCTCGTTCGAAGCAAGTCCTTGTGTTTGGCCCTCCCTATTTATCAAACACATCACTCAACACAGACAGGTAATGCTTCCAGTGATGATTTTAGAGCTTGGCTCTCTCACCCATTTAGCTTCTCTTGGCACAACTATTAGCCTCTTCATTTCTGTACTCTCTGTTTTTCTCTGCAAAGCATTTACACACTCTGTATTCCCAAGTTCCTCAGAGACCTGCTTCTGAAGCAGTTCAGCTAGCAGTCACAGAGGTATCTTGACTTGAACCCAAGTTTAAAATGTCAAACCACTTTATTTTCTAATGAAATATTTAATGAAATATTCAGGCTACTCTTTGAACAGATGTAGTCTTAGATAACTTTACTTTTGTTGTAATTGTTCAGTTTTCTGTTGATAAAAAAAGTATTTTTCATGGACAACACAAGATAAACTACAAACAACCTACAGGGGGTATGTGTGGGAGGGGCTTTTCTACATAAATCTTCATGTTAGTTTAAAAAATAAGAGGTATTCATAAAAATCTTTCCAGACTGCTGCTATTTCTAGCAGCCTTTTTCAGCTGAAAATAAAATTATTTAAAACACTGCTTTAAGATTCTTAAAGCATATGTTTAAATGATTTTCATTCATTTAAACTTTTTTGATTAGTAAACCTGCAATTTTAAAACAAATTATTAGCTTTTTTTATTCAAATAAGATAGTTAAGGTAAATAAAAATTTAGTCTGTCTTTACTTTCCAAGATACATGAAAAGACTGTTTTCATTTCTCTAAAATAATTTTTAAAATCAGAAATTGCTACTGCATTTTTTTGCCTATTTTTTTCTGTTATCTTTCTTAATATTTTGAGAACTCCTCCACACTTAAGATACTGATGAAAATAATAACTTAAGAGAATACTTTTAAGAAAAGAAATGTTTGTGCTGAAATGCTTTGAATGTTTGTCTTTTAAAAGTATTTTCTTTCTAGTGTGCTCTTAGCAAATCTCCCTTCATTGTATTTCCTAGTATCAAGGTACCCATGGCTGCATGTAATCCTTTTTTTTTTCCCTTGTAGTCATCAGGTTCTTAGCTCTGTGAATTAGTGTGATGTACAGATGCTACTGATAATTTGCTTTTTTGTTGGCACAGTCAGTCTTGTTCTGAATGTGGCTGAAAGAGCTACATAACACCCATCAGGTGCCTAAATGTTAGCACAAGAAAACTAAAATATCAACACCTCAACAGATAAAAATCTCAGTATGAAATGCCTGTAATACACTTTCTTTTTAGGCATTAGAGCCTGTTTCCCATTAGCTAGTATCAAATTAGCAATGTAGCTGTCACTTTTTCAGTTAAAGAGAAACATCTGTCTACACCTGTGCATAATTTGCCAATAGAAAATGAGTCCCAGTGCATTCTTATAAAATCAAACAAATTGTTTTTGAGGGGTTGCTGATTGGCTAGTATTGTAAAAATTAGCATCAATGAAGTTATTGGAGAGAGTAAAGTACAAAGCAGATGAGTGGGAGAAGTTTTTTGTCCTGTGCAGAACTTCTTTAAGCCAGCTGGGTCTCCCTCTCCACCGACTGAATAGGGAGACAGGTGCACATGTTGGTCTTCCACGCTGAGGTACTGACAATTACCTGCATGTAAAAAAAGGGAGTGCAAGTCACTGGATTTCAAGTTTAAAAAAAAAAAATGGTAACAAGCATTGACCCAAGGAGAAGAATCTGCGTGTTGTTCTGCGGTGGTCATGGTTTTAGAACTGCGCAATGTCCTGCAGTTGTGTGAGTTGCGTGTGAGAATTTTTCCCTTTGCAGACTGTTGGACCTGGATGAATAGTGAGACGAGAAGAAAAGATAATGACTGTAAAGATGTTATGAAGGGAGTTAAATAACTCTGAGGATTCTCAGAGAACACAAGCAGAAATGTCAGGAGGCTACATGGGGGTTTGCATTTTGTTTCCCTTAACTACTGGTGTTCAGATATTGATCAGTGGAATAAAGTTATTGAGCAGCTGGGAACACCCTGTCCAGAATTCATGAAGAAGCTGCAGCCAACAGTACGGAACTACGTTGAGAACAGACCCAAGTATGCTGGCCTCACTTTCCCCAAACTTTTTCCAGACTCTCTCTTCCCAGCAGACTCGGAACACAACAAACTCAAAGGTATGTCTGACAAAGGGACATGGTTCATGTGCAAAAACTGCAGTGGAATTAAACCTTTTCCAATTTTTCTTCTCTCTAGTTGCATTCCATTTAATGCACTTAGCTGCAGACCAGTGCCTGCATGGGTTTTGTTTAGCTGAGAGGCAGGCTTTGGAAATGGTTTTTGGAGATCCTGGTGTTTGAGCAGCCAAGGGAATATAATCACTGATGCACTGAGAATATTCCCATGGTGTTCCATGTGATGATCCTGTGCTACAAGGAATTGAGGTGTTCCTTTGTCACTGTCGAGGCAGGACGGGGATGAGAAGACTGACCAGAAGGCTGTAAGAGTAAAACTCCAATTTATTCAAAATACACTGCTCTTTCATACAGAGCTTCGTGAGGACCAACTCCATTGGTTCTGAAGTGAAAACAACCTACACCATTGGCACAGAGTGCTTGACGCACAGTGATAGAACTTAACTATAAACAATGTGAAAAACAAGAGAGATAAAGAATTATTTACATTATTCTCCAGCTCTTTCCCAGGCTTCTGCCTGGATAGAAACTCTCGTTTCTCTCTTTGACTGAATCTGAGTCCCACGTTCCTTTACTCTTATTCTTGAACTTGTAACACAAAGGAACAATGGAACTTCCATTGGGAGATCTCAGCACTTGCACTGGCTTTTTTTCAGGTGAAAAATACCAGTTCAGCCAAATGCCTGCCTCATAGCTCTAGCTTTACTAGAAAATAAAAATATATTATCAACATCAGCCAAAATGAAGTAGCCAAGGATTAATATCCACTGGGGTGGATTTCTTCTTTTGAAAAATCCTGTGGGTCACTTAAGATATGTGAAGTAGAAAATTAACTTAATTGCAGTGTGACTAGATATCCCCCTGTAGAAGAAAAATTGCCATGATTTTAATAATGTATTGAAGTATTTTTTCACTTGAATGGGGCATTGAACTTCAATGGGAAAGAGTGATTATTGTGTGCTTAGTACACAGCCCTGGAGCCCCTGCAGACCTGTGCTGTACTGGCTCAGCACCACTCCAGTCCTTGGAGCAACTCACCACAGTGGCATTTAATGTATTTCAATTGCTTACAATTTGCATGTCATTACATGACCCAGAATTTTCTTCCAGTTAACAACTGCTTCATAGCCAAGCTGCTGTCCTGGCTCTGGGAGTAAAGGGAAAGGTCTGGGCAGATGCTTTTGGATACTCAGAATTTTTTACTCCTACCACAACACAAATGAATAATGGAATTTTCCTACATTTGCAGCTAAAGAATAAAAATGTCTGTCAAGCAGTGCTGTTATCCTTTGGGTACAGAAAGAACATAGCATCCTGAATGCCAGTTTGGAAGATATAGCCATGAAGCAAGAAACAGTGCATTCAGGAATCCCTACTTGTGCAGCATTGTATCATCCCATGCCCTGCCTAAATATTTCACCATAATGTAATGTTAGTGGTTTAATTAGACACTCACCCATGTATGATGAGATACCTAATAATATCTTTGCACTTACTGCTCTTTGCAGCTTTTTTCCCTTTCATTGTCTTTTTCATTTACACATCAAATAATTCTGAGCATCCGAGATCTTAGAACACTATATGGTTAATAATAACTAATATAACAGAAATATATGTTGTTACAATTTTTTCACATGGGTTAAGATGTTATATTTTTTACAAACTCCAACTAGGAAAAATCCATTTGGGTAATATAAAGCTGAGTTTGTGGCTTTGTTCTGGCACCATTTGCCTGATAGGAACAATGGAATATATTATCAGGCAAAATAAATCAATGCTGCAATGTAAAATTCAATGTTTGTATGATATATATATATATATATATATATATATATTTGTTTGATATATATATAGATGTATATATATCTATATATATATATGTGCCCCACTGATTTAAATTTCATTACGCAGGACAAACAAGACTCAAGCAGTTCCAAACACTTCCATACCACAAGGGTACAGATTTGAAATTATTGCTTCTAAGGGGATGCCTTAAGATTAGCCTAATCTCTACACCTCATTAAAATGTTTCATGTTTCACAGCAGGTTAGGTGAGAAACTTTAAAACATCCAGAGAAGTGTGGATGTTTTTCTGAGCCAGTCTTAAGAATGCCTGTAAGTTTCAGGTTTGATTTAATAATGCCATGATTTTAGAATTCTTAATTTGAACTTTTGTACTCTGATCCTGGTAATAATCACAGATACATCAAGCATGGGATATTATTCATCCCTCTGTGTGGAATCTGCACATGTGTAAAATGTCACTAAATCTTGTTAGGGAGCTTATGGTGTCAGCCCTGATTTTGGCACCTTTCTAATGAATCAGATCTAAAATGATTACTGAAGAGCTCTTGCTATGAGGAGGCAAGGGAGCAGAAGTACACACACAACCAATCTCTCAAAGGGCTGTGCCACTGCTATTTTCCTACCCCTACTAAGCCTTCTCTGGAGGCAGAGGTTGCTTTGTACTAACGCTGTTTCCCTGCTTCCCTTGTTCCAGCCAGCCAAGCCAGGGACCTCTTATCAAAGATGCTGGTCATTGATCCGGCCAAGAGGATATCAGTAGATGAAGCCTTACAGCATCCATACATTAATGTCTGGTACGACCCAGCAGAGGTGGAGGCGGTAAGTGAGGCAGCACTCCTCCCTTCAGAATGCCAAGCACAAATGGGATTCAGGGATTCCTGCTGCTTTACAGCAGCAGGATAATGAGCATGCTGGAAAGAAACAATGCTGGGACAGCGGTGGTCTGGGGATTGATGTGAAATGGGATCTGTAGGGACAGGATATCTCTCTTTATTAGATTAACTGATAATAGATGGGAGGAACAAAGACACTTCAAGCATATTAAGTCATTTTCTGCTTTCTTCTAGAAAGGATTTTGAATCCACTAGCTCACCTTTTTAGCTATAGAACTTAATCTGGCAAAAGATACTATCTTTCCTTCCAAACCTTTCCATGTGGAAGACAGCAAAAACCACTTTTTATGTCTGTGTTTATATGTAAAGAGGAGGAGAATTAAGCAAAAAATATTTGGGATTCTGAAAAAAATATCCTGAAGTCAGAATTCAGAAAAAGCTTAGCAGGACATAATTTTTTCCACAAAATGAAAGAGGGGCACAGGTGTTTTCCTGGGCTGTGGTTTAATGTACAGTATCATGTACACTGTGTACAAACAGAAATGTGTTTTTTCTTCTAATCCTGTCATGCTCTCTGTAAGACTTGGCGAGGCTGGTGTTAACAGGGATAAGTGTAATCTGTCAGCACTTCAGTAACATGGTATAAAATGTATGGTATAATGGGTATAGGCATAAATTCAGAAAGGTGCCTGTATGAAATATATAATATTAATATATAATATATAATACCCTGTATGAAATATATGAAAACAGGTTCAGAAATCTGATTTAGTCACCATAGGAAATGAAGACCTTGTAAAATTAAATCACTTCTGTTTAGTGATACGCTCCAATTCAGTCTGTGCTCTTGAAAGTGCAGTAAACTTCAAAAGTAAATTGAATGTTCGAACCCCTATGAAATTTCCAGCACATGGGATTTTTTCAGAGGATGTTATTTAGGAGTACTTTATAGGGCTTTATTTTGCCAATCTCATTTTCAGACGGAAACTTAAATTGGAAGACTTTTCACAATGAAATTATAAATTATAAATATCCATCTGTTCATGCTGATATACCTTTAGTGGTTAGCTATAAGTAATTTACTAATAATTTTCTGGAGAAAAAAATAAAACAATTATTGTAGAATATTGGTGGTTTTCTGTTCTTGCTCAGAAGGGTGTTCTACAGCAAGTACTCCACTGAGATATCTGCCCTTTTACAACTACAGAAGAGTTAGGATCAAATTCAGTAAATATTTCCTAACGCCACGGGCAATAGGGAAATTACTCATCTCATGTATTTTTGTTGGATCTTACCAAATAGATAGCAGGCTTGGAATTTAGAAGACTTCTAAAAGCATCCAACAAATTAGCTGTTGGAAAGGTAGATACTTTTGCTTATTCCTTTAATAATCTGACTCTGTAAATTTGACTATACTGAACAAAACCACAGTAGTTATAATAGGGTACAACTGAACAAAGAATAGTATTTGAATGGCATTTCAAAGCCTAAAAATGGCCATGTGGCTCTTTAATGTTGAATTTGCAGCATAATGAGACTCTATGAGGCAACCCTGCTCTTTCACAGACTACCCTACAAATGTGCAGCCAAGGAACCTGACATGAAAGCAATGGGAAAATTAGTGAAAGAGTTGTGCTTGGTCACTTGCATAATGCTTAACTTCCCACTATTTTTCCTGGTTTCCCCACTGGGTTTTAGAAGCCTGCAGTGTGTTGCATCTGCCCATGCTCACTGCACTTTTTTTTTTTGGTAATACCTGATAAGCACTTTTCCACAGAAGTCTTTCATCATGTAGCTAAAGGTTTGGTAGTGTTGGTAGTGGGATGTTTTAGGATTTTTTTAAGTTCTCCCATATTGTGATATGAGACAGAATTCCTCCCACTACCAGTAATCCTGTACAGTAGGAATAACAGAAATTACGATACAAAGATATTAAACAAGATGATATTTTCAGCCAGTATAGCACTGGAGAGGGGGGAATTAGGTAACTTCTGCTCTCTAGTTAGATTCCTCCTTCTCCCCACTAAATGGCTTCATCAAAAGCAGCCAGACATCTGTACAGAGTCCATTTCATTCAGGAGCATGAGAGGACAGGTAACTGAAAGCATTTAATGTGACAGGAATTTTGAAGTGAGCTGTTGCAGCATTTTTAAATGTCAGCATGTGCTGGAGTAGAGAATGCAGAGCACTGAAGCCAGTTCAGGGAATAAGCAGAGAATTTGGTGTCGAAGTTTAACCTGGAGGTAACAACCCTCAGTGTCTGCTCAGATTTACAGCATTATAAATGTGAGGGAAACAGATAAAACAGCCCTTCCCAGTTAAAAAGCAGACTAGTGAGACAGGTACAGTCTCTTTTTATAGTCTATTATAAGTTTATGGTCTTTCAGAGACTGTGTGGGGAAAATAAAACTATTATATCTTGTTCTAATGTCTCTAATGTTTGCCAGTCTTGGCAAACACTGTGCACAAATGGGAAGTGCTGGGAATGCAATACTCTTTCCCCCACAATGTGTCCCAGCATTAAACTCTTCTGGTGACCCTAAAAGCCAAGTATGATTCCCTGACCCAGAGAGGAAGATCAGCTGTTATTATATGTAGGACTTGCTATTCACCAGCCATGGGAGGTTACTCAAACAGTGCTGTGGCTCTCCCACAGAACTTCTGCATGAAATAAACCTCAGCCAAAGCACGCAGTAGCTCTGAAACAGCATCATACTCACAGCTAGAAACAGGCCTTGCACAGCTTTTGAGGTTACCTGTGGATTTTGGATTTACAGAGAATTCTTGTGGCTAACATAGGTAGTTTGCCAGGTTCTTTTAAGTACACACAGTTTGCCACAGTATCTCTGATGAGAAAGTCACAGTGTGAGGTTCCCCAGAGCACACACCATTGTTCTGAAATTATTTTGAATAGCATTACAGTTAAGATAATTTCTGTGTTCAGCCAATGACAACTAAAATATGTGTTTTTAAAAAGTAGGAGAACATGCAGAACATGAACAGGAGAACACGTATGGCTCGGGTTGTGTGGAATTCCCAGATGTTGAAATCTGTTATCAATCTTCACACCTAATATAAATGTAGGGAAACAAAAGTTCACAGGGCAAAAGTATTATTTACTAATACTATACAGGAAGTCTACTGTAAAATCAGAATTGGAACTTACAGAACTTACTTCTCTGTTTTATTCTTTAGTTCAAGACTCTTCTAGAAGTTTGGGGGGGTTTTTTTTGGGGTTTTTTTTGCACAACTGTCTCAGTTCCACAAATATTATGTTTATTGTTTTTATGTTTATTACTTTGATGTTAGAATATATAGCTATATAACAGCACTTTGGACTATTATATGAATAAATGACACACATGATACCTATTCTCCCTCCAATTGCTCTGGTTCTGTTTTCTGGAAAGAAGAGGTTTCCAATATCTCTTACGTCTACATGCAGACTATCCTGTTTATTGTAGATAATCTCAGTATCTCCCTGATGACATATTAGCTTCTCTGTTTTCCTGTCTGAAAATTCTGTGCTTGAGACTGTTTTCAATTACCCAGCTGCTTTTTTTTCCTTGAAGCTGCTATATATTCTCACCCTTCTTTGAGATGATTTGTGAATAAATCCTGAATCTGGTATTTAATCTTTCATATCTATCCTAATGTTTATGCCTGTTCGCAGGTCACTGGGTTTGATCAAATTGCAAACAAAATGGATTCCTACACATTGCTTTAGCACAGAAAAGTTATTCCTTTTGCTGTTGGTATATTCAAAGAAACCATTAATGTCATATTGGATTCCATTTTGGAACATTTCGAATGTATGTATGATGTCATATTGATTCCTACTTGGGAAAACTTGTTCCATTTCATGGGAACAAATCCAGTAGCAAAATTTGCTGTAGATTATTATGTGATGTTTCTGTTAACTGGTTTCAAAATTTGTCTTGAACTTTCCTATACCCGCAGTTATTGTTTGTTATCTGATATGTGCCATCCATTAGAAGAGACATTTCTATGAATCAGAAAGATCAGGTGTTAAAAATATTCCTTTCAAGCATTCCTCTATGTTTGACAGTATTTTACAGCAGTGATAGATTTTATGGAATTTTATTCACTGTAACTCATACAGCTTTCATTCTTGGTTTTATTTTCTTAGAATTTATATTTCACTGGCGTATTTCTGCATCTAGGACCATCCACAGGGGGCTGAGTTGTGAATTATCATTCATTTTTCTGTGCATGCCAATCTGTGTATTCCCTTCTATTAATGTGATTCTGTTTCCAGTGTTACTAATGAAAAAAACACTTGGTTTATGGTTCTCAGTCTGAGGTCCAGGACAGAAACTGCTGCTGTATTGTCTTAGCCATATATAGACTATCTATAACTAACTGACCAGCTGTTAAATACAATTTTTAAAAATTAGATTGTCAGAATTTAAAAAGAAAAAAAATCACCGACCTCTTCTTTTACTTGTGAGTGCTAAGCATCCATTATGATGGAGAAGCACTTTGGAGAGCTCTGTGACCTTGGCAAACACACTTCAAAGAAGGCGTAACCTTCACTGCATGACATAAGCAAGGCTGTCAGGCTGTGCATCTTTTCTGCTCTTCTTTTCTCTTGGTCAGCTCTGTATGTACAGATGTTGTATAGAAAATCCTTGATGAGTTCCCACATTTTTTAGCACTCGGTTACAGGGCTTGGTTTTCTGCTCAGAGATTGATGGTGTGCATCTGTTGTCTCACAAAAGAAGTGTACAGCTCTGCCTTGTGCACAGGCACAGATACTTCCTCAACAACATCTATCCGTTCATAGCTGATTGATTACAGAAGCTGAACACAGCTTCTGCAAAAGTTCATGTCAGTGAGGAGGAATGGTTAGAGGAGAAGGAGTCATTTTTTTTCTTATTTTTCTTCTTTGAACCAAATCTTTTAATCTTTTTCCAGCTTGCTTGTTGTATCTTCAAGCTGTTCAGTCATCTGTGTGTAGCCCAGTAATCTTGACTCCTGCTGCATGGCATCCTTACGATCCAGCTGTTCAGAAATAGCTCAGTCTATGATTTTGTTGATGCACATAATGTGTGGAGTTTTCCAAAAGCCTCTGCAGAAAATCCAAGGAACAAATGGGCCCAGAGTCATCTCTCCTTCCATATCCATAGCTGAGATCATCCCTAGCCCACTGTGGAATCCCTTGGCAATACAGAGTGAAATCCCAAGCACTTTCTAATAAAGAGATGCCAGACCTCTAGTGACAAGCACACATGTGTACTTGGGCTTGCACGGCAAAAATAAATATATGAATGGTATCAGTAACACAATTTAGGTTGCAGCAAAGCACCAAGGAATTTTTGTATTCACTTGTTATAAGGACCTAAGCTATTTAACAAGATGTTTAACCTCACACCATTAATGTTTGCATTCTCAGTCCCTCTTTTATGTGCATTATCTTGCTAATTCCATCGGTGCTCCCACAACTGCCCCAGACCCTGCAATTCTGGGAAGAGATGCAGACTCAGGCCTTACTCTGCCAAGCTTTCTAAAAACAGCTCATCCCAAGGTCTCCACTGTGCTGGCACCACCCCTGCAGAGATGGCAGGATTTGCTTGAGTGTGAGTTCCAGCCCATTCCCTTTGCCTTCTAGCACTGGCATACAAACCGATCTGTTTTCTTTGGGAAAGTGAGAATTACATTGGTTTCAACATATGTTTTGTTTTTTTCTCTAGTGTAAAGCTTCCCCTCTCTGAATATTAGAATGGTATTTAACAAACC